GCCGTCCCGCCCGCGCCGCTGCCATGCTCCGCCACCTCAGCGGAACATCGTAATTCTTATAATTTCGGCTCCAAAATACGAGCGAAGTCATTGACCACCGCCTCCCTTTTTCCGCGCAGCGTTCCCGCCGTCGGGACCGACAGCGCGTTCTGCGAGGTTACCCCTTCCCCGCTCCCGGCCTCCCCGCGCCTCCTCGCCAATGGGCGGCATCTCGGGCGCTTCTCCACGCAAAACGCAGCCCTACTTCCCTTAACATGTAAATGAACAGAAAAAAATACACGGACCTTAGCAATTATCACAACCGAATACATTAAAAAATAAAAATAAACCACAGAAACTCCCTAAAACAAGCATTCAGATCCGCTCCTACACCGGAAAACACCCAACAGACACAGGACCCACGAGGCAGCTCCTCCGAGTTAGGACTACGATCGGGAGGCCTCGTGACGTGTGTCCCTTATTCGAGGCTCCTTCGCCCGAGACCTCGGCAGGGGGCTGGGGGGCCTGGGGTGGTGGTGGGGGGGAGGGGGAGGCCTGGCTGCTCCATCAGCGTCGGCTCCCTCCGGGCTTAATACTTAGGTCTGGCGCGCTGGTTATCGTAATTAACAACATTTATCATTTAGACATACGGGCATCCACTTACAATCTGGACCTCCGTCGTCGCCTTCCGCTGGTGCATTACACCCTGTACTCTCTCTCTCTCTCTCTCTCTCTCTCTCTTCTCTCTCTCTCTCTCTCTCTCTCTCTCTCCTCTCTCTCTCTCTCTCTCTCTCTCTCTCTCTCCTCTCTCTCTCTCTCTCTCCTCTCCCTCTCTCTCTCTCTCTCTCTCTCTCTCTCTCCCTCTCTCTCTCTCTCTCTCTCTCCTCTCTCTCTCTCTCTCTCTCCCTCTCTCTCTCTCCCTCTCTCTCCTCCTCTCTCTCTCTCTCTCTCTCTCTCTCTCCTCTCTCTCTCCCTCCCTCTCCCCCCTCGAACAAAGGGCAAATGAAAGGAAAAAAAAAAAAAGAAACTAAAATACGTTCCCCTCTCCCTCTTCCCTTCCTCCCCCCTTACTACATCTACCTAACGGCTCCTGATCTAGAGCGGGAGGAGGAGGAGGGGGGTGGGGGATGGGGACGGGCGGGCGGGGCCGGGGAGGGGAGGTGAGGGGGGGGGGCATACCGATCCTGGAAATTGGAAGTTGTAGAGAATGTTGAGAGGGCGGCGCCATCCGTCTTAATGATCAAGGGAGCGAGGAAGCCAACAACCAAAATGATAGATGCGGCAAGGGAGGGAAATATGCGGTCGTCAACGGGGCGGAGGGAGAGAAAGATGGGGATGAAAGGGAGGAAAGAGAGCTAGGGAAGGAGGGGAGAGAAATGTAGGAGTGAAAGAGAGCAGGGGAGCAAGGGAGGGAAGGAGGGGAGAGAAATGTAGGTATGAAGGGGAGAAAGAGTGAGAGGGAAGGAGGAGCGAGAACGATGAGAAGGAAAGTGAGACAGAGAGCGGGAGGGAAGAAGGGGAGAGAAAGATGAGAATGAAAGGGAGACAGAGAGCGGGATAGCAGGAAGGGAAGAAGGGGAGAGAAAGATGAGAACGAACGGGAGACAGAGAGCAGGAGGCAAGAAGGGGAGAGAAAGATGAGAACGAACGGGAGACAGAGAGCGGGAGAGCAGGGAGGGAAGGAGGGGGGAGGGGGAGAGGACGTAGGTGGATGACGAGGCGACCGCGGAGGAGCCTGTGTGGCACATGGCAGGGAAGGACGTCTTGGGGTCAGGAGGCCGATGGCGGAAGTGGCGACACCCCGCGCCGGATCCCACCAGGGCCAAGGGAAAGAGTGAGAATTAAAACACAACAAATCTAACACAGGCGCAGTGGGCGTGCTCGGGAGAAGAAGCAGGACAGGGCAACCGAGCGCAAGCAGGCAGGCCATCAGGAGAAGCTGTAGCAGCAGCAGCAGCAGCAGGAGGAAGGAGCAGTAGCGGGGCACACAAACCCTGACCACGTCATTAAAACTCCATCACGCGTCGGCCCAAACTTTCACCCCCTCATTATCATTATCAACGCTGTTTTTCCTCACTTCCCACACCCACGACACTGGAAATTAACCCAGCCTACACTATCCTAACGGTTTTATTATCCTGACCTCAATCCTGACGTTTGCAGTGCACTTTGCTCGGTGTATCTGTCGTGAATTCATGTCGCTGACCCCCTTTCCCTTTCCCCTAGCCCTAGCCCTAGCCCCCAGCCCCTCCACCCCCACCCCCAGCCCACCAGGAAGCCTTTCACTGCGACCCTCCCAGACTGTGTATCCTGCAGTCTCCCTTCCCTCCCCACGCAGCCCTCATCTCCTTGCTTCGTGTCCTCTGCCCCTCAAGCCCTTTATTCGTAAAATCTACCCAAACGCCTGTTAGAACTACGGCGGTTCTTTAGGCCTACATTTATCTATGTGGATCTGATCGGAGCTTAAATACTAGGTCATAATTGTTTACGTTATTCCGCTTTCATTCATTCACAACAAGGAGTACGTGGATTTTAAAATATGCCCTCTGTCTGTCAGCAAATAACACACGCACACAAATATCCACAAAGATCTCTTGTGAAAGTCAACTATCCCGTGACCCCCAGCAGCCAAGCAAGAAAATGTGGAAAAACATCTCCTCTTCACCTCGTCCTCAGCCAGAAATGAACCTCGGCTAGTATCCCAGTCACCTGTTCTCCCCCTCCGCGCGCAGCAAGCACAGCCCGCATTCAGCCTCGCACAATCCAAACAATAACAACGCAACCTTCACCTCGACACCATAACCTGAGCTCAACAACCTTCACCCGGTATTTTAGGGGAGTGATGGTATCGCTGACGAATAAGGCAGGGAAGAAGAGCAGGCCCGTGGAAGCGTGACCCTGCGTGGGCGGCAAGGCAGGGAGGAAGGATGGGGACGGACAAAGGGAGGGAGGGAGGAAGGGGGGAGGAGGAGGAACAGGAGAGGGCACAAGGCATGAGGTGTGGCCGCAGGATCACGGGTCAAGGTTCAGCGTGTACCACAAGGTCGCGCGGGAATCAGCAAGATTCTTCTGAACTAAGTCAATATTTCCCATTCTCTCCAGCCGCCGCCTTTCAGCCAGCGTGATGCAGGTCAGTGTCTCCAAGCTCCGGTAAATGGGCGAGCCAGGGACGTATTTAAATGCCTAATGACGATGGAGTAGAGACAGGCGGAAGAGGAAGGAGAGGGGTAGGGAGGGAGGACACACGGCACGTCTGGGTCGTTCTCGGCTCTCTCACGAGTCAATCGAGGCCTATTCCCCGGCAGGGAGCTAACCCCCCCCCTCCACCCCTCGCCCTCCACCTCGCCAGGGTACGCCACCCCAGCGGAACGATCGGAGGTAATAATAAACCGGTGCAACATCCCTGCACACCTACGCCTCGCCCGCCCCGCGACGCCCGCCCCCCCGAACACGGCCGTCCGTCGCTCGACCGCCATCAAATGCTCTCACTACTCACTCTTAAAATACAGTCTCGACGAGTTTTAAATAGGCATCCTCGGTGTGAAAACAGTGGGGATGAGCCTCCACACTGGCAAGCATCAACAAAACGGGTCTATATATAGAACGAGAACTGCAAGAGGAATAAGATCACCACCGCTGGAGGGGAACCAAGTTCTGGGGGCGGCGCTGGGGATGTTGGTCAGAGCGCCGCCGTAGCGTCTGTAATCTGCCGCCATAAATAACAGAATTCCTGTGGTTGGTAACTGGAATCATCTGTTACCCCGCCATACCAACTAATACCGCTCGTTACCACGCGATACCAGCAGTTTCTTTCTATAGATTTTGAACTTTTGCCCGCCGCTGGAGCTGAAATCGAAGTCACTCACGCGGTTTGTGAAATGATCCATGCGCGGCGTACCATTGCTTGTCTCGTCCGCCGCCCGCCTCGTGTCGCCTCTGCGCATGTCCCACGGTTTCATCGCTAGTACACTCTAACGTACGCACATTAACCCAGGTTATAAAGGGAAACTGATTGGTTTCTACGAGACGGAAGTGATATGAATCTTACGCGAGCTTTGCACACGTCAAATCTCGCTCTCTCTCTCTCTCTCTCTCTCTCTCTCTCACTCCGTGGTGTATGACGGTATACAGAAATACAAGAGAGAAGAGAGAAGAATAGAGAGAGAGAGAGAGAGAGAGAGAGAGAGAGAGAGAGAGAGAGAGAGAGAGAGAGAGAGAGAGAGAGAGAGAGAGAGAGAGAGAGAGAGCAAAAGATGCTGTGGTCATGGCTGATAATAGCATCTGAAGCAGGGGGGAAGGGGGAGGGGGGGATCATCTCCAGGTAACGGAGATTCTGAGGTGACGGATCTACTGGCAACGCTCGCGACACTCCCGGCGCCTTCTGATTCTCAACCCTATTCCTCACAAGAATTCTCATCTCGGTCTCTTCCTTCTGTCTCTTCTCTCTCTCTCTCTCTCTCTCTCTCTCTCTCTCTCTCTCTCTCTCTCTCTCTCTCTCTCTCTCTCTCTCTCTCTCTCTCTCTCTCTCTCTCCTTTCTCTCTCCCTCACCACCCACCCACTCACTCACTCACTCACTCACACCACCCACCTCTCACTCACCTCACCTTCTCTCACTCACTTTCCACCACTCACTCACTCACCCACCCACCCACCCCTCACACGCACCGACCGAAGATCCCCCCGTAATCTTAAGTGAGTAATGATGTAGGGTAATCAGACGGTATAAATATGCATGACCCCCGTGCTGGTCCCCGGCGGAGGAAGACTGGCGCAGCGGCACACTCAACGGCTTCATTAGCGGGTCATAAGTCATTATCCGTGATTGTTACGTTTTACTGCTGACGGTTAATTACAGGACCTTCGAGGCGCGGCTGCCCTCTGTCACCTTCTTGGACGTCTGGCGCTTCTCCCTCACTCTTCTTACTGCCGTTTCTCTTCCTTCTCTCTCTCTCTCCGATGTCTCTGGGCTTGTCTGTGAACGTTTTTTCTCAATTCTTATCGTTTTTTTCTTCATTTTTTATCTCAACGCACAAGATGGACTTCACTTAACCAATGTGAAAGCTTTCTTATCTTTACGAATTGACTTCTGGCTGTCACCTAAGGAAATGGCAATGAAAGGTGGTTCTTCCTCGTAAGAAACCTCTTAAAACTCCACTTCATAAAATACGCATCTCAACTATCCTTGACAAAGTTGGACATATGATAACCCACCCTTCTAGTCTTGCCTAATTCGACCTATCAATTAAGAAAAATACTTATCAAACCACGTTATCAGTGTCTTGTAACCTTAGCCAGAACAATCACCAATAGCACTGTCCTTTTTTCACAAACAACTTCGTTCGTCACGTATCTCATTTTTTTTCTTTTCTTTTTATTTCTACGTCACTGTGAAAACCTCTTCGGGGACTTACCGACTTGCCAAAAGGTCCATCACATACATGCCGGGCTTATCTCTTATCATAAGGTCAACACTTATCTTACTTTTAAGCTCCATACCAGGTCACGCCACCAGATAGACACATACCTGGAAAGAAAGAGAAAGAAAATAAGATACATCATCATTACTTTTTTTAAAAGAAATGCATCACATACACTAAAATTCAACAGTATTTCTCAAGGAATTTTCTACAACTCCTTCCGCCATCAGGAAGTGCTACGACGTCTTCCTCCCTCACAACAACAACTACAAATTGATAGGAAGGAATAGTACACCCTCTACTATCTTGTTGGAGAAAAAAAACGCCCACGAAAAGAATGGCAGTACCTCACGCCCGCAACCCGGAACCTCCGCCCATATTTCCAGCAAACAATCAGCCTCCCCTCCGGTAATTCCCGACAGCCCGACAAGATAAGCTGGAAGAGGTTCCCGAAGGATGCGCCGGAGCCAGCTGTCCGGAGGGGCCGGCTTGGCTTCCATCACAGCTCGCACGGCACGGCTCGCAACCGGTCATTAAAACATTAATCACATGTCCTACTGCTGATGGTGGCCGCCACAGCCTCAATAATTATCTGGGAAAAAGCTATTTATAAGCATGGTAACTAATGGGCGACCCACTCGTTCACGCCAACCCGCTAAACACCGCCCATTACGCGTGCATTCCCCGTAGCTCGTTTCCCGACACATCGGGGCTGCTTGACTCCCTAACTAATGGCGTCGGCACAAGTCCTCCAGCGCCGACGCATCCGCCCGGCCGCTGGAACACCCGATGACAAGTGGCGCCCATTTCCCAGGCGTCAATTTCATCCGTGTTTTAATATCTAAAACTTACTAACAATATTTCTACTTCCGCGCGGGGAGACGGTCCCTCACGGTGCCTCTGCAAGCAACGCCACGATGCATGCGAGTATCGACACGGAAACAGCCACAACCACACACACACAAACACAAACACACACACACACACACACACACGTAAATATGTAACAGTTGCATGGATAAAAGAGCGGAATACAGAACAGATGAGCAAAAAAATAATCCCGAACACAAGGACCTGCCCCTGCATGTTTGCTTTTAGAAATCTAATATTAACCACAGAATCAAATAACAACGGCACTAACTACGGGCCACAACAAAACAGATAATTAACAACTTTGGGTTATACAGCCTGCCTTGGCAATTACCAGCACCCCCCCCCCCGAGAGTAGCCCCAGTGCCAAGGGAAAATGTCGTCGGGAGCCAGGAAATGAGGCCGACTTTCCGATCCGGTGCGGCGGCTGCGAAACCCCGATGAAATGTAGGATTGGCGGGCTCGTGTTGGGAGGGAGGGGGGGGGGGGCGTCGCGCTGCCCAAATGACACTGCTTTCAGGAGCCACGGCGGTGGATGGTGTGGTGGTGGTGTGTGTGTGGGGGGGGGGACCAAAGAGGATGAGGACGGGTGGTAAGGATGGGGATGGAGGAATGGAAGCACAAGGATCGAGGGTCGGTGTAGGGATGGGGATGAAGGAGGCGAGCGAGGACTAGGGACGGCGTAGGGACAGGGAAGTGGAAACCCCAAGACCTGAGGGCACCAAGAAGTCGTTCCAAAAGAAAAGAGGAGACGAGCGGGAGCGGCGCGGGGACGAAGGTGGCTTGCAAGCAGGCACGGCGGCAGGTGGCGACCACACCGGCCTAACATTAATCTCACAATCCGAGTCCACGTCCCGTCCGCCCTGTGCCGCATCCTCCATGACTGGGAAAATTACACCGTCCGCGGACTTCCCTTTTGTCCCACTGGAAGAAATCGGCCAAATTATGACAAATTATCCTGGGTCTCGCTGGGTAATTGCGCGGAGAGGCAGCCATCATCCAGGCTTCTCCGTGAGACAGCCTCGCCGCCGTACCTCGCGTTCCCACACTCGCGCGGTCACTTCATGCTCGCGATCCCATTCAGAACACGACGACTTCGCTGTCCTGCGCTTCGGCCGCCGCGGAATGACGACCCGACCCGAACGGACGATTTGTTTGGCCAAGATAAACAGTTTGTGGGAAAAAATGTCTTTGTGCGTGGGCGTGTCGTTACAGCCTTCCCTAATGCTACGAAAAGTCTGAAGGAGTGCCCCGCCTTTGTCACTTGGAACAGCCATCACGTCACATCCCTCACGTGTGAGGAGGAGCACGTCAGCGAATCGTCAGCACGTGGCTCAGACGTCATCAGCATACATTACCCCCCGAGACGTGCTGATGTGTCAGGTACATCTGGTAGCTGCGGCGCGTGGGCTTGTGGTCGTCGCAGGTAGATTAGGCAGACGTGCAATAATCACCCCCTAGCATCCGGAAGAGTGAATTATCATAAGCGAGCCGGCTTAATTAGCTTTCCCCCTCTTTATCTGTGCGGTTTCCCTGCAACGCCCCGCACGCGATTTTACATAAATGCTTCGCACAGCGCTCATTGTCCACGCGGCACGAAAGCTGCACTTCTAGTAAATCTCGCAGATTGACTTTTGGCGTTCCGATGTGTGCTTCAAGCCGACGACCCTCGGAGGGAGATTCAGAAGTACAAAGGGGCACAAAGCGACCATTTTTATTCTCTTTATTTTTCTAACATAATTGCCTATCATTTTAAGTACTGAACATTTCAGTGATGTATAGAAATTGAATCTGTAAATATAACACTGGCTCATATATCAGTCCTTAGCTGATCACGTTTGGTCTATCAAGTACATATTTCAAACTAGCCAAAAAAATGTTGACTGCCGATTTGTCAAATGCAGACTAAGCGACGAGGTACCAAGGCGAGTGGCGCTGGAGCGGGTCAGTCAGACGCGCACGCCCGAAATGGGTCAGCTCAAGAACCAACGCCCACCTCAAGGACCCCAAGGAGAAAGAAAGGGAAAAGGAAAGGTGACGATGGTAGCGGTGTGGTAATGGCCACATTACGAAGAGGCTTGGGAGGGGGGAGGGGGGGCGTGGCGACAGAGGGCCACCTCGCGAGGGTAATGCCGCTATGGTCTTCATTAAGGGCCACAACGCTGGCACTTCCTCACATATTAATGACAGGGAAAGAGGGGGGGGGGGAGATGGGGGTAAATGGGGCTAGTGATGAAGAAACGGGAAGATGGTATGCTGAATAAGAAGGGGCGGGGTGGGGGTGGGGACTCCATGGGAAATAGGGAAACAGATAAATAGATAAACAGAAAGAAGGGGGGAGAGGATGAGATAGTCGAGAGAGAGATAATAGAAGAGGAGGTACAGGAAAGAAGGAAGGAAGGAAGGAGGGAGACAGACAAACAGAAGGAAATAAAGAAAAAGAAAGAAAGAAAGACGGATCTAGGGAGGAAGAGTGGGGGAGGGTAAGACGGGAGAGGGAGGGGAAGGGAGAGGGAGAGAGTCAGGGAGAGAGGGAGAGAGGAGAGAGGAGAGGGAGAGAGGGAGAGGAGAAGAGAGGAGAGAGAGAGAGAGAGAGAGAGAGAGAGAGAGAGAGAGAGAGAGAGAGAGAGAGAGAGAGAGAGAGAGAGAGAGAGAGAGAGAGAGAGAGAGAGAGAGAGAGAGAGAAAGAGAAAGAGAAAAGAGAAGAGAGAAAGAGAGAGAGAGAAAATGAGTGAGTGCGTGCGTGCGTGAGTACAACGTTTGCTTTTATGCCACACCAACGAATGAATTAAAAGCCAGATCCTCGCTACGCCCGGGGACACTATGCCCGGTTAAAAGAACCTCGCCCAAACGGTGTCATCTCAACCAAGAAGCATAAAACTCCCAACCGAATTTTTATGGGTGTTGCTCCCTCCGCAGAAACCTATCCACGGCTTGAGCTTCCTCGTCAAATGGTATGCAGACAGCCAGACAACACATATCCAAACTTATTTTTTTTACAGTGACTTCCAACTTGTGCCATTCTATATTCCCCTTCGCCCTATGTAAGGACACCGTAAAAAAAAAACCGTATGTGCAGCGCGGTTTAGATCTGGGAAAAGGACACAAAAACAACTTCTTTTCCTTCGAAATATCGAATATTCTGGATTTCAATCAATAAACAGCGCTTATAAAATCTACGAAATATATGTATTACACAAAAAAAACGAGAATCCAAACGGCGAATATTCTACCCAAAAACAAACACCAGCGCAGCGATATCTACACACCACAAACGTAGAGTGAACGTTGGATAAAACCATTACATAAGTAACGCTTGAATTTCCCAGCTCCAGAAAATGCGAGGAAAAACACTACTATCAGCGAGGAAATCGGTGGGCCTGGTCGGCGCCAGTCATTGTGGCAAATGGGCAACACTTTCCCCTTCCTAAATATTGTTTCCCCTCACGCTTCGGCCCCGCTACAAGGACATTGCTTCTCGAGCGGGCACCGCCAGCAGGAAAGCTACAGCAGGGCAGCAGGATGCCGGCGGATCGGCGTGAGCGGGGAGGCGCTCTATGCCCCTTGGTCGTGCAGCAGTCCTGCTGAGGGAGGGGGGGGGAGAGGGGAAAGTGGGGAGGGTGCGGGTACGACCATTGTTTTTCCCTCGCTTTAAAACCTGGGAGCGTAATACGTGGTCCACTGCATCCATACAAATGGGGTGGTTGCCTGATATTGAGACGGTCCCGATAACAATGGCCTCCACTAACGGCCGGACCAGCGCAAGGGAGGAATGTTCCAACGAGCCAACATACATACGCGGCCACAACACACTTATTACCATCAACCACACGCTCGCGCCGACCCTCTCCCCGCCGGGATTACCCTCGAGTGACGCCGGGCTCGAACGCCGCCCATCCATCTCAAGGCCGCGCGCGAAAAAGAACGCCCCCCCCCCTCCGCCTCCTCCCCCCCCTCGCCCCATTCCACTTTCGAAGGCAATCGTGACAGTACGTGACCAGATGTGACAAGTCGGCGAGGACGACCGCGGCGGACAGCGGTAAACAACGCCGCAGAGCCTGGTTCCGCGGCGCCCGTATCACGGCGCTGCTTGCGAGGCTTCCCTTACGCCTGATATTCAATTTCGGAAACATCCCTTTCGCTCGTCGGCCTCTTTCCCCGACTCCCCGGCCCGCACATCCTCCTCCTCCGCGCAGATCCCCGGTCCCTGGCCCCTTGCCCCCGGGTGTGTCCCTTC